TGAATGGAAAGGTGCTGAGCGAGAGACTTGATGTGAGAACTGTACTCCACTTAGAACTGTAACTCTCAGTGCTAGATTTCAGCTGTACTGTAATGTATGGGCTGAATCAAATAAAAGAGGATGTCACCAAACCCAGCAGCCACACAAAAGACACACTTTATTAGTGGGAATTTATTTTTACAGTGCAAATGCCCAGAAGCTGTTTTTGCCCAGAGTTCAGCTTTCATTAGATAAATATTTTCAATACAGAAATACACATTTTAATAAAACATTTGATTGTTTTAGCTTTTTTACCATTAAAACATTTTTATAGAAATGCAATCAAAACAGTTACTAAAATTACAACAAATGGATAATTTTTTTTATTCTGGCTACTTAATATAGCACCACCTAATTCTATGGTACTTTACTGAAGTATCAAAAACATACAAACTTTGTTAACTACAGTGGCACTTTATAAAAATATAAATAAATAATCCTAAACTATCGCAGTTAAGCGAGTAAAAAAAGTACAAATATAATTTCACTTTAAAGTAAAATATGTTGTTTGTTTCTGTATATATTTTCTAATATACAGAAATACACATTTTAATAAAACATTTGATTGTTTTAGCTTTTTTACCGTTAAAACATTTTCATAGAAATGCAATCAAAACAGTTACTGAAATTACGATTGGATCATTTTTTTTTAAATTTTGGCTATTTAATATAGCACCACCTAATTCTATGGCACTTTACTGAAGTATCAAAAACATACAAACTTTGTTAACTACAGTGGCACTTTATAAAAATATATAAATAAATAACCCTAAGTTATCGCAGTTAAGCTAGTAAAAAAAAAAAAGAAAAGTACAAATAAAATTTCACTTTTATGTAAAGTATGTTGTTTGTTTCTGTATAAATTTTCTACTTGCTCAGACATGTGATCACTGAATCACATGTCTGAGCAAGTACAGGGCAATGGATCACAACTGTATAACCAGCAGAAAAGAAACAAAAAATTATAAATATATATATATATATATATATATATATATATATATATATCCATTATTGCAGATCCCATCAGATCTTTGCCCCTCTAGATCTCATTTGCACAGCCAAGACAACAGATCGTGCTTGTATAGGACTAGAATAGATCACATATGTAACCCATCAGGTTTGTGCCTAAAAAGTAGGATAGCAGATCTCATTGCCTAAAATAAGGCCACCAGATCACATCTGTACAACCAGGACCCCGTACATTTTAATAAAACATTTGTTTTGTTTTTTTTTTAATATATTAATCATTTTGGTAAAAATACAATCCAACCACTTGCTAAAGATACAACTGATGGATCATTTTTAATTGTTGCCATTTTATATTTTCTTTTCTTCTTTGGAAGAACCAGGTTATGTGTCCTCCAGAATGCCGACTGGTAAGTGTATGGATTCTGCTAGGTAGAGGAGTCTGTGTATGTGGACACTGGGTCCATTGCTGAGTGAATTGTTTTCTTGATTTTGATGTAGATCTTCAATCCAATTGATACAGCTCAGGCTGGTCCAGGTTCCATCGGGGTGTGACGGCTTTATCCTTATTTTTTCTACTCCTATGCTCGCCCCCAAGACCTATTTTAACCATTCATCAGTTAACATAGATTGTGTCTGACAAGGCAAGCATTAATATGTGTATTATTTATACTGAACGTAACTTACATGTCTATGTATGTTGTGTTTAAAAAAACTTTTTTACACCTTAGTGCAACACACCCAACTGGTCCTTAGGAAGCGATAGTCATTGTGAAATGCGTTGACCTTTGAGTATGAAGATTTTGTAGTCACTGACCCTGTAAGTATATGTTTGAGATATATGGATTGTACATCATTATTGAAGTGTCCCTTTTGGCTCTTTCTCAGGGTTGGGTAGCACCATATGTCTATGTTTGGAGTGTCGTTTTTTTTTTTTTATATACATTGTAATGATTTTAAATTATTTTGTAATAAACTTTATGGTTTTATGTACACCGCTGTTAAAGTCCACCTGGTGTTTGGTAACAAGTTTTTGTTCCAATTAGTATATGATGTTCTATGGATGTGGCACAGTCAGGGTCTCCTAATATTTAGAGTTGCCATTTTATATAGCGCCACCCAATTCTGTAGCAATTTATGGAAGTTCTCTCATGTAAAATCATATATATTTTGTTAACTATAGTGGCACTTAAACATAAACATAAATTAATAACCCTAAGCTACCACAGTCAAAATAAAAAATAAAACAAAAAGATTAAAACTAATAAAATGTAAACTCTATTGTATATTTCTGTATATATTTTCTAATATACAGTGTACATTTTAACAACACATTTGTTATTGGCTTTTTTACATTAGACATTTTCGTAAAAATACAGTAAAAAATATTACTAAAATTGCATCTAATAGACAATTTTTCATTCTTGCGATTTTATATAGCACCGCCCAGTTCTGTGGCACTTTAATTAAACTGGCAATACTGTATATAAAATATGAATAAATAACCCCAAGTGAAAAAAAAGTGAATAAAAAAAGATTGTTTTCACAATGAAAACTTTGTTGTATATTATATTATGCAAGTTAAACTGGATTTTTTTTTAGTCCCCCTACTCCCCTACCCATATATTTCTCTCCAAATCAATGACAACATAAGTACAAAATTCTGACAATGAAACAGTAAACAAAAATATAAATACTAAATTGTCTAGATGTATCCTCACTTGTTATGATTTGCCCAGAATGAAAATGACTAGCCCTGTTCTCTATGGATCTGCTGAACAGGTGGTCTTTTCAGAAGGGTCAGGAAATATATTTAGCATCTGAAACCTGAGCAACCTACTTGAGGATTGGCTGCTGGGCGCACATGATAATTTCGGAGCTGGTGCATTTGCTTTGCTCTTGACCAGCGTTTCTGAGGAGGGAAGAGTTGGAGGCTTTGCTGCTAAGGGAATTAATTAAAAGTCACTGGTAAGAGTCTTTTTTACCTCCTCTTTGTATCTACAGGACTAGCCTATGATCTGCATGGACCATAGCTCAGTGGCTTGCGACAGTTTTCAACTAGGACAGTAGCAAGCACCTATCTGGGATGTAGTCAGAAGACCTGTCTACTCATTTTCTTCCAGTGGTGTCTGTGCAATTTTGTCTTTCCTTTCCACTGTATGGTGATGTGCCATCCTACTGCTAGATCTAACGAAACTTTCTACCGACTTTGTGACTTTGTATAATAAGTGACTTTAGAAGGCTGCTGTGTCTGTTGCTGTCATTGGGAAAGTCGTACATAATTTGGCACAGCGCTGTTGATAATTATTTTATACATTATCGGGAATGATTATTTCTGCTTCAATCTGTTATTTTTTGCTTGGCACTAAAAAGGGGAGAGCATTACACGTTCCTATATTTAACCTGCACTAGTGGGCTTCAGTTGCCTCAGAAGGTATTACAGCTGAACTGGCTAAACAAATCCAGCCAATCAGCCGGCGGTATTAGATGTCACATAACTTTGGAGCAGCTGCTGGAAGGCTTCATCGCCTAACTTTGGGGACTGGGATCCCAGGCACTGTTCTAAGACCTGCACTGAAAAGCTTTGACAGGCCCAGCTAGACATTCCACGCCACCCCTCCGCTCGGCTCCTGTGTTACATTCACAAAGAAAAAACATTTTGATATTTTTCAGGTCTAATCTTCAGAAACAGTACAGAGATCCACAGTACAGGCCCATGCTGTTCAGAACGCAAATAATCTTGTTACCATAAGGTTATTATCAGTCTTGTGATTTTATGTCATCAGTCTCATGAATGGCGGTATACTTACTATTTCTGTATACTGTATGTGTGTAGGTCTGTCCGTCCGTCTTCTTCTCTCTGGTATTTTATTTACTGCATACATCAGTGTGTGTTACCATAGACATGTGTACTTTACATTAATAATTGTGTACGTGTGAGAGAGAAATAGGTAGTAAGATAGATAGATAGATAGATAGATAGATAGATAGATAGATAGATAGATAGGTAGATAGATGGATAGATAGATAATTATAGATAGATTGAGTTATAAGATATATAGATAGATAGATAGATAGATAGATAGATAGATAGATAGATAGATCGATAGATAGATAGACAAATTAATTGCTATAGATAGGTAGATAAATAAGTGGACTGATAGATAAATATATAGATATAGATAGATAGATAGATAGATAGATAGATAGATAGATAGATAGATAGATAGATAGATAAATTGATAGCGATAGATAGATAGATAGATAGATAGATAGATAGATAGATAGAAAGATGAAGCTTGGTATATATATAGGTAGATGGATAAATAAAGATAATTAGATAGATAAATAGATAGATAGATAGATAGATAGATAGATAGATAGACGCATTGATATAGAAATAGATTGATCACATTGATTTAACTCATAGTTCTTTATTCTGTAAAACTGTATGTAAAGATATATGTGTGTTTTTAAGTACATATACTGTATATACATGTATGTATGTTGTAGCTCATGTACCTAATATACATCTATCTATCTATCTATCTATCTATCTATCTATCTATCTATCTATTATCTATCTATCTATCTATTGTCTATCTATCTATCTATCTATCTATCTATCTATCTATCTATCTATCTATCTCTCTATTATCTATCTATCTATCTATTATCTATCTATCTATCTATTATCTATCTATCTATCTATCTATCTATCTATCTATCTATCTATCTATCTATCTATCTATCTATCTATCTATCTATCTATCTATCTATCTATCTATCTATCTATCTATCTATCTATCTATCTATCTATCTATCTCTCTATTATCTATCTATCTATCTATCTATCTATCTATCTATCTATCTATCTATCTATCATCTCCCTATCTATCTCTCTGTACATCCATTATTCTATTTCTGCTGTCCATGTATATGTAACATTATCTCCTCTCCTCAGTTTGTAGGTGACAGAGAGGAGCCTCATCATGGCGGACGAGGAGGACTTAGAGGAGTATGAGGTAAGTTCTATGAAGCGATCTATATGGCTGCCTATGTTATGTGATTGTGAGGGAGGTGTCTGGATTCCATTGTGTTGGTGGTTTCTGGAGATGTTTACAGAGCGGTGAAGTAAATGAGAGAATGCTGCATTCCGATCAAATAAAACTTTATTTATAGCCCAGAGTGAACACATGTAGTATTCATCTAACTACCTCACGTAACAGGTTTGGTGCAGATAGTATGATCGCCGTGTACTCTGATACCCGTTTAGTCAGCAGATCTGGACACATACATAGATATGGCAGGTATGTGTCATTCCCAGGGTGCCGTAGTTACACTGGCTGTCAGTCTGAGCTGGCATTGCTGTGATCCGTATGTCCGGTGTGCTCTGGGGATAAGCGGGCCCAATCAATGAGCTCATGAAGTATCCTGATACCTCCATTTCTACATGTATTTATGAGGTCTTTATCACATGTATATATACCATATACCATTACATGTATATATACCATCAGGGCCTACGATGGTCGTTTCTAGGAGAAGGTCTGTATGACCGATGTGGTTGAGCACACAGTTAGCCGGTAATTTCTTTGCTATATTTCCACACTCCCAGGCCTTACACATTATTGCTGAATAAAATAAGGACTGCTGTAATTTTTAGCCTGACAGCAATTCTTATAATATACTGGATTGCACCAAAAGTTTCTCTGTCATGTCCTGAAGAACATTAGGCCAGACCCAAATCCTGAGACAAGTAGTCCGCCATTTACAAGCTGAGAATGGAGTCAGACCGATGCGATTTCTGGACATGCTGGCAAATTTCTGAGGGCTCATTCACGCATGTGGTTGGCAATAAAATTCTGCCATTCAGCCACACTTTTACCACCCCCTAACTGTTATACCCCTTAGCTGCAGAGACTGTGACCAGGGGTGCACTAGCGTTGCCACCTCAGCCCTTTAAAACCAAACACCTATTAATTACACAGGATCTGTGGCTGATTAAGGTGGTAATTAAATTCACTTAGTGTCCCACATGGCATTAAACTATAATTATGATACCCCTGTCCTTTTCACAAGCGCAAGTGAACGGAGCCAAGTGCCCTGCAATGCACGTGGGTTCCGCACACTAGTGTGGGGATGAAGGGGTTAAAGCAGGAGTAAGGATGCAATACAACCCCTCCTCACCCTCATCAAATGCTCTCTTCCATTCTTAATGTCAACAAGCCCTTAGGGTCACCTTTCATGTAGCAATCTGACTGTACAATTTCGATATATACTGTACAACCAACTTTATTTTTAGCAAAGCAATGTATAAGGACCTGTCTAAACTATCCAATGTATTTGTATCTAACCAGGCAGGACCCTGCATAAAATAGATGTCGGTTGGCCTAAAAGAGGTCCAATCTCTGAACATTCTCCTTTAGTTTTACCAAGACTATGCACGATGAAGACAAACCTAAGCAATCTTTTTTAATTAGTATCAAATCAGGTAGGTCTTTATACTACATAATTGATGGTAGATCTAAAACAGATTGTACAATCAGATTGTATAGTGTAAGGTCAGCCTTAAGCTCACCATACACATTACAATTTGATTTGTCAATCTTCTTTAGATCCATCAACAACTACGTAGTATAAGTGCCTTACCTGGTTGGATACAAATTGAATGGATATAATAGATAGATCAGACAGTTTTGGTAAATCTAAAAGGTGATTGTACAAAGATTGTATGGTCAGATTGTACCATGTACGGTAACCCTTAGTGTGGCCATACACTATACAATTTGAATGTTCAGTTGCCTTTAGGTCTGCCATCGATGATGTAGTGGAAGGGCTCTGCTCATTTAAGGCTGGTTCACACTAGCCCACACTGTGCGTTTTGGTTGCAGGTATGAGAATGGCATCGGTTCCTGCACCTGCAACCACCTGCAGCAGAATCACACTGCTCTTGCAGGATGCGCTGGGCTGTCATTCATTCGAAATGGCCCCCCATTAATTCGAAATGGCCCCCCATTCATCTCAGCCCACAGCATAATCACGGGTGAAGGAACAGCAGGAAAACCGCATGCGTTTTTAAAAGGTGCATGTACCTTTTTCTTTCACGAAATGCGGGTACAGCAATCACTAGTGTGAACCAGGCCTGGTACAAATGCAATTCATTATTTAGGTGTGTCCTCATATTACATAGTGTTGGTAGATCTAAAGGAGATTGTACAATCACATTGTAAAGTGCATGGCCAGCTTTAGGCTGACCATGCATTATACAATCTGATTCTACAATATCTTTTAGGTCTACTATCAGCTATGTAGTAGTGTATGGGTCTAACAGGAAGAAGGGTCAGCCGCACACCGTGGATTGATGAATATAGTGTATATTTATTGATCCATAGGACACATAAAAAACCAGGACATGAATACAGGACCTGTTAACGCGTTTCACACAATCTCATGCCTAATCATAACCCATAGTGTATGGGTCTGCTTGATTTGATACATATTTTATTGGTTGCTTGTCCTTAGATTGCATCATTTTGGTAATTCTACAGAAGATTGTACACTCAGATTGTTTAGTGTATGGCCAGCTCTGATCTTTGGGTCTGTGACTCATACCGAGAATTATTAGGCTGGCTACATGTCCAGTTAGAAATGGCTACAGTGTGAATTCGGCAGGACAAGATCTTCCACCATGTCAGAGAGTTTCTGATTTGGTACCACACGTTTCCAAGGATTGGAATGGCTTGTTAATTTTTTTTAATCCCTACACAGCCCAATCATACCAAGTAATGCTTGAGTGTGGTATTTGTGAATATTGGCTGTATATGGCATCCATTAGTTTATATAAAAGGCCGACAAACAGGATTAAGACCTGCCTAAAACCTGTAGTCCCTCTGCTGGTTAAGAATGGAATATCTAGATTTAAAGGATAAGTTCACCTTTTAAAAACAAATAATATTCACATTTTTTTGAAGGTTAAAAAATGTGCACTTATTACTTTTTGTTGCAGGAGCCTACAAAGCATGGCAGTAATCAGCAGATCACTGGTGTCATGCAGGGCTTCTGCAGACCTGTCAGTGTATCTGTTTGCCCATATGAGCAAGCCGATACACTGTGACAGGACGAATCAACTAGCTACCACAGTGCTCGGAGCTCTGTGTTAGCTCAATGAAATCTACAAGTCGATAGCTGATCAGGCTGTTGGGACTTTTAGTTTTCTCATTCACAGAATACTATGGATGAGTGACGCAGCTGGGCGGGCAGAGCCCCTCACGGCCACATTTTTTTCAATTTTGACAGCTAGCAGGAGGAGAAGATCCCCTGCTAGCTGTCAAAGCAAGGGAGCAGAGAGGTGTGGGGTGCTGGTCCCTTCATAAAACGTTACCCTAAATACGGATGTAACATTTAGCATGCTATGAAAGGTGAATGTATCCTTTAACCCCTTCACACCGGCGCCTCTCGGCCCTTTAAGGGTTTCAGAATCTGGGAGGCAGAGGGGTTTAGAGTCATGTGACTGCCGTGACACGTGGTCACGGCGGTCTCATGATCGGGAAAGGTGCAGATCGAAAGAGGAGATCGGGACCTTTCCGTGAGTACCGGACATGTGTGCTGGGAGCGTGCAGGGCACGCGCTCTCAGCACATATGTTCTTTTTTAATAGAACGTAAATGTGTGGCCGCTCGGCGTCTAGGCCCAGACGCCGGGAGGCCGCACATTTGCATTTGGCCGGCGTGAAGAGGTTAAGGATTTTGCCAAAACAGTTCTTATTCGCTTTAATATCTCAGCAATCAGCCCAACACATAGGAGTAGCTTTACTAAAGGCAAATAGACTATGCACTTTGCAAAGTGTAGTTACACTCTGCAAGTGCAGTTGCTCCAGAGCTTAGTAAATGAGGGGAAGCTCTGCTGACTTCCATCATCCAAGCATGTGCAAACAAAAATGTTTGTTTTCTTTTCCCTGCATGTGATTGGGTATTCATTTCAAAGAGGAGCTTTACCTCATCTACTAAGTTCTGGAGCAACTTTAAAGTGCTCAGCCTATTTGCTTCTAGTAAATCAACCCCATCGCTTGCAAACATGGCACTGTAGATTTGGTGAAAGTTGTTGGGGTGATTCCTTATATTATATAGAATATATATATATATATATATATATATATATATATATATATATATATATATATATATATATATCTATAGTATATCTTTCAGTGGTTCTGGCAAAATAAACCCTACATTCAATCACCACTGAGCAATATAGAAAGGCCGTAAGACAACATCTACTTAAACTGAAAGAGAAGTTTTGAATGGACTTGGCATGTACTAATTATTGCCCCATTAAGTTGGCAATACACTTTGAATGGAGCTGCAGGGGTACAATCCTATCTGTAATATGTGGAAAGGTAGACAACATGGTAGGATCATGTAAGCTAAAAAAATTTTTACTTGTTATGGTTGAATATATTTTTTTTCAGAAACCACATAAAGTATATAGGTACACAGCAGTAAGGAAGTAACAGTACCCCACTTGCAAGGAACGAGGGCAAACGTCAGGCCAACTAAAGCTGCAAATTACATAAAAAGGCAAATATATGACAATGTGAATTATAACATAGAGTATAAATAACAAAGGATAACTCATAAGACCCAAGCATGAAGTTCTGGGTAGGCTAAATCTATTAAAAAAAATCCAGGCTAATCAAGAACACTACAGAAATTTGACTGCCTACCACAGTGGAGGAGAGGCTCCTTAAAAAAGGGCCAATTTTTACTTTGTTATGCCATTGGTTTAAAATCCATGAAAACAGATCCACTTACGCGTTTCAGCTTCTTAGCCTTACTCATAGCTCAGCTTAGCTATGACTAATTCTGAGAAGCTGAAATGTGTAAGAAGGTCTGTTCACATGGATTTTAAAACTGATGGCATAACAAAGTAAACATTTTTTTAGCATACATGATTCTACCATGTTGCCTTCCTTTTTGGATATTACTAATACTAGTTAGCCTACAGGGACATAAGTCTGACCA